TTCCTTTTCTTTTACCATCCTTATAGAAAAGAACAGCTGAGGGAGACTCAGATGCACGGAGCTTCCCCACATGTGATTTTAGTTGAGGTGAGCTACTTAGGCTCCTCCTGTCCAGCTCCATCAGCCTTGGAGGCCCATGATAGCTAGACTCTGATGAGGACCTGGAAGAGGAAACATTAACATCTACATGGACTTTACTTTCAGTTTTCTTCTTGAATTTTAGAGTGAGGAACCTCTTAAAGGAAGATTTCTTTTTCTTGGAATATTTATCAGGTGAGTCATTCTCTATCAAAAGTGAAGGTGAACTTTTAGTGATTGGCTTTTTGGTGATGTAGGCAAGTTCAAAAGGAGGTGGTATATCAACAACTGAGGATGGAGTAGATATGCCACATGATGAAAGATGATTTCTCTGGGAAAAACTACCTGAGGAACCATTGACACAAGGCAAAGACAAGTTGTCTTCTGTCCTTTTTATTCTACCATCATCCAGTACACAGCCATCACTTTCTCTGTAAACAGAGACAGGTATCTCTCTCCCTTCAACAGAATAAGATCGAGGATACAAAATGAAACGTCTTGACTTGGTTGGTAATGCCCTGTTGGCTTCCATTGGTTTTCCTTCCACTGAAAATAAATTATTGCTTAAATCTTCTGTCCTAGAGCCATTGCGGGAAGACGGTAAATCAGTTTCAGGTCCAGTTTCTTCTGGAACGGTTTCTGGGACACAGCCCGGCATTTTCCCAGAGAGTGACCGTGTTCTAGTGACAATGCTTTTACGATCAATGGGCAGCAAGTTGTTTTCACCATCCATGCCTAATTCATCCCTTTTACTGTGATCAGCTCCTAAATCAGTCTGTCCATCATGAGCAATTTCATTTTCTGCGGGAAGCACGTAAGGGTCATCTAGGGAATCACCGCTAGTTTCTCTTTCCTCTGATTCTTCAGGCACAATGACCACTTCAGGGACTGCTAGATTTTCAGGCAAGACATGTTTGGTCCCACATTCTACATTCATTTTGCCATGCTTACAGACTTCTAACTCTTCCTCAAGTGGGACCTGTTGAGGTGGACTTGGGACACTTTTGCTGAGGCTGTTTGCTTCCACCTCATTGTCTTCAAGTTGCAGCTCATCTGACTTAGAGGTTTCCACAATACTTTCACTATGCTCTTCAACAGTCACATCTTCCAGCTCTGGCTCTATCCCTGGACTACTAGGTAGATTATCAGAGATCACACCATCTTCATCCAGAGAGGTCTCTTCTGTTTGAAGATTCTCATCTGAATGTTCCATGGGTATTTCCTCACCACATTCATTCTCACAAGGAGCAATTTGACAGCCATCATCCATATTCTCTGCATTCACAGTTTCTTCTTCCCCTTTCCCAGGGTCTTTACTTGCTTCACAGGCTACCTCTGATGTCTTCTCCTCACCTCTCCTCTCAGTGATCTGGCAGCCATCACTGGCATTTTCTGTGTTTGTATTATTGTGCTCATCTGGGTCTGTTTCCTCCACTTCAGCTGCTGCTTGATGGATGGACTCTCCTAAACCATTTTCAGCATTGGGTTCATCTTCACACAGTTCTAAGCCAGGAGCTTTTTCTTCACTGGCCTCATTGAGCACCATGTCAGGGCTTGCACAGTCATCATTTTCTAACTCCCCTTCCATGTTCAAATCAAGCTCTGCATGCACTCTGTGGTCACCATCATGTGCTAGACACCCATCTCCCTTTTCTAAAATCTCAGGCAGTTCCTCCTCCTCCTGCCCTGCCTTCTCACAACCTGGGATTGATTCACCTGCGGGTAATGGCATTACAATGGTATCTTTACAGATATCACCCATTAGTTCCTCATCTCTATGCAAAATGTTATCACTATCAGTCTTACAATCACTATTGTCCTTAACCAGTTCCAGGTTGTTAGAAACTTCGTCCTTGTTTTTGGTTTCACTACAATCACCTACAACATCCTCATCTCCATCTACATTCTTGGAAGCATCATTATCCCCATCATGGGCATCTGAGGACTCCTCACAAAGTGCTTCTGACTGGTCACAGTCTCTGGTTGACTCTTCAGAGTCTGGTTCCATTGGTTCAGCAATATCTGAAGAGTTATGGTGCTCATCTTCGGTGACTTCTTCATTACTGGTATCCTCATCATTAGCAATGTTATCCTCTTCCTTCTCTACCTCTTCTGGTGTTTCCGAGACTTCATTTTCCACAGAGGAATCTACATTCTGATCGTGCTCATGTTCCAAGTCATTACAGCCTTTGCTGGTCAGCTGAGCTTCAGGAACTACAATGTATTCATTATCTGCCTCAGATTCTGGGCAATCAGCATTGCATTGGTTTCCTTCATGCAGCTCTCCATCTAGACATACCAGTTTCCCATTTGAGCATTTATTTAAGTTATTGTTGGTATAAACACTGGATTTGCCCTCAGTGTCAGCTGAGAATTTTGGCTTGGGAGCAATAGGTGGTTTGGGGCCCCTAGACATAGAGTTCGGGTTATGAAGAATATCAGCCCTTGGCAGTGAAGGAGAAAATTTGGAGACAGCTACTGGAGAAAGATGACCGGTAATCTTTGGTTTCGGTGCTAGTGGTGGCTTTGTGATTTCTGGAGAAAAGAGAGAAAAGCCACGTTAGTCATCTTGGTTTCTTATTAAAGCCAGAGGAATATATCCTACAGTAGACTTTATCTTATACCAGTGACTTCTAATGCAGAAGGAGTCCAGCCAATAAAAGGCTCAGCTTTGAAAAGAGAACTGAAGGAGCAAAGCATATGCACTGTGCTTCCATGTGGCACTGTAGCTATTCCAGGGAACACGGTTTAAGGTCAAAACTGAACTGAACTGAACTAGATGCAGCCCTAGCACACCTGGGGAGAGAAAGATGTACAGCTGCAGAGCCAAGGGTGTATCATAACATATCATGTTACAGATGGGTAACACCTCCCACACTCAGAAGTACTAATGACATTAGAGACCTTTTGATTCTGCCCCAGAAATCTGTTCACCCTAAGTATGAACACCTTGATTCAATGATGCTGAAGTGTTTCACTGCAAAGAAATGCCTTTCAGCCATAGTAGCTATTCTTATAACACAGTACAAACACTTTGTAGCAATGATTTTAATTTCAATATGTAGTTTGCAGAATTTCAGCATTGAACAAAATTAGTTCTAGCAACAGATCAAGGTTTAACTCAACCCAGCCAAACTGAAGTGAACACTTGGTGCTCAGACACAGTCTTCCCATCTGTCATTGCCATGGTAACAAAATATGGAGTTAAATTTTATTTGTCAACCAACATAATCATCAGGGATAAGATGGTTTGCTAAAAGTTTGGCTAATACTTTACATTGATTATGCAGCTGAGCTATAATGCACTGAATGAAATACTTCAACCCAAAACATGAAGAGAGTCACTGGTTTAAACTTAAGTTCAGTTTTCAGTGTACAGCTTCTTCAGTCCTTTCTTTAGTCAAAAGATCCTCCATCCTCCTGTAAATGCCAGGACCCCTTGCAGGTACAATCTTCTCTGAACATCAAAATATACTTTAAAAAAGTTAATTATGTTGCAAAATAAGGCCAGCCACGATCTCTAAACTATTTCTAGTGGAAGTGCTGACAGCATGTAGGGGAATTCAAGCAGATGGACAATAAGCTAGATTGAAGCTAGATAAATTAAGTCATATATGGCCATTTTACTCACAGTACGGTTTACATGCCACAGCCATTTCCAGCTGTCTTGGTCCTGAAATTAATATTCTTTAAATAACTAAATGAAATGCTGAAAGGCTGCATAAATAGGCAACAATAGGGATCCTCCCTCATGAGATTTTAGATGAGATTAAATATGTGGTGTGAAGAAGCCAGCGCACCAAATGGTTACAGATGGTAATAAGTAAAGAGAAGGGTTTTGCTCTTACTAATGTTTCCTAGACATCAATAGGTAATTACATGGTTAATCAATCAGGAATCTTTAATTCTTTTTATAATTTTAATGAACACATTTTAGTGGAAAAAGGGGAGCTCTCCATTGTAAGGAAAAGCACAGGACAAACTATTTCACCGTGAGAGAGACAGGAACAATTATTTGTGCAAAATCTTCATGCCTTACACACAGGAAATATGGGAACAGCATCTCAAGAGACACCATTTGGGACACGGTTCCTATGTGAAATGCTATCCTAAATCATGGTATAAGTTTCAGGAAGTGTAGCTACTGTGCTGTTATATTTTGAGTATTTTGGAATGCAGACTTTTGACATCTGGAAGTGAAGACAATTAAAATTCAGCTGTGCACCATACTGAGAATAAAGTAATACTGAATGCAAACTGCTTAAAAATTATTCTCTGACTGTTCTGGTATTTGGTGTCATAGTACTTTTCTTACTGTTATCTTAGTCCAACTGGAGTAATTTGTATTGAATTAATACTGGCATATTTGTTTGGTGAGACTCTGGGAGATACAAGAGGCTGTTTCTTCTGATCTTCTTAACCTTGTTGAAATTTCTTCCAATACACAGAAAGATGCTGACAATTCGGCATTCTGATGTAGTCTGAAAACAGTCTTTCTAGAATTATGAGACACCAGAGAGATTTCATCTAAGTTAAAAACTGAGTCAGTGATCTCAGCTCAGCCCAGAAAGAGTGAAAAGTCTGTTCTAATCAGGTGCCTTATCGCATATACTGATTAAGAACTATTCTGTATCTGGGGTTTTATCCAATCCAGCTTCATGTGTGGGAGGCTTAAAACAACTTGTGGAAAAGGAGGGAGAGAGAACTGCGTGTTCGCCAGTCTCCAGTACTGTAGCGTGTACTCTTGTTTCACAGTATCCACTGCTGCTTTGAGCTGCAGGGCATGTCTGATTATTGACATCACAGAATGGGTAGCTAATCTTTCCCTCCAGATTATTTTGGAAACATGTGCCAAACACTTCACCATCGCTGAAGTACCATTGCTTCTGCTGCAGCCAGCAGCAAGTCTGCAACAGTTGAAGGCTGCAGAGTGCTGAAAACTGTTGCCAGTTAAAAACATGGAGGGAATAGAAGTGGGTTGAGTATCTTGTAAGCCTGATTCCCCAGCCAGATCTACCTTTTGGATTTTTAAATCAGTTATTACAATGACTGAACATCCTAAACTAACTTTCTGGTAGTAAAATGCATGAAATTTTTATTAGCTAAAACTGAGTCCTTACACTTTTCCCACCAGAAATCAGCAATGGACCCCTTACCACCATAATGAGGCATTTTTAAGACTAACTCCAAGGAAGAAAACACCACTTTGGAGTGGTGCAGTGTCTGCCTTTTCCTAGGAATGTCTATCCAAGAGTAGGACACAAATATACCTACTCCATTCCTGGGATGTGACAAGGCTTGAGCACAGTCTCAGCATTCTCATGTTCTTGTTGGATGGAGTGTCTGTACTGAAACACTGAGTAATGAGAAAAAGACTGTACTGTAGAGAATGCCAGTATCTCCCAAGCTTTGTCTTATAAACAAATTTGAAATAAAATAATGTAATGAGCTCATTTCCGTTATGTAAAATAACCATGCAGACATCCACTTCAAAAAAAAATAGCTTAAACACAGTTACCCACTTTCCCTCCAGTGATAATTTCCCACAGCAAAAGGAATCAAGTAATCTTGAGTTTTTCCTTCTGCTACCTTCAGTAACATTGCTAGTGAAAGAGAACTTGCGGTAATAGACCCTGTTCATAGTATGGTAATAATAGACGTTGTGACGTCCTACTCTTACCCGCTTGTGCCAGCTACTGGTCACTACTGATTCCTTCCACAGTTTTTTCCTAGCTGCTCTGTGTGTTGATCCTGCCTTTCAGGAGGCTCCTTAAACAATTTTCCTTTTTTTTTTTTTGGGGGGGGAGGCAGCAGGAGGAGTACAAGAGTTTGTTTAAAAAATAACCCAAACAATTGCTGAAAAGAAAGCACCACTGTTTGCCTTTTATCATGACAATTTCATTCTGCTTCAATTTCTGCTTCCTTTGCTGCCTGAGCCACTTGAAAGGTTCTGGCTGTAGCTTCTAAATGGACACAAAACAACATTGCACCATAAGGAATGTGTATGTTCACAAATAAATGTGCATGTTTATTTTAGGATGTGTTTTATGTTGGAGGGAGACACACCCACCTTGTGCTTAAAAGGAAACTCTTGGGGAATAGGAATTTCTTTAGCCTGCTCCTCCCCTTATTGTTCGATACTTCCTTGTACTGACAAGGACTGCTTCCTCTCCTTACCCTCCTTCCTTCAGGCAAACCATATAAAATTATATTACTCTCCTCCCCTCCAAGTTTCTAAGCAGTGAACAGTAGCCTAGCAGCTCTCCTGGAATGGCAATCAACCCATACAGCCTTCACTGTTCAAGTGTTTCTTTGAAATAATGAACATTTTGTAGTGGGGTATTGCCTGAAACACTGCAACTACCCACTTTCAAATGTTCTCCAGATTTAGGAATTACCCTAGAATTTAATTAAGGCTTATAAGGGACCATATCTACCAACAACACACACCCCCTCCCCCATCAAGCAGCTGGTTTTGGGGTGAAGACCTAATTAAACACTGAGGTTTCACATTTGCAGGGATATTTGTAGACATGTCCCAGGCCCATGGTCTTTGACAATGGCCCAAGAAATTACTTAGCGCCACAGTGTAGATACTAGTTCCAGCCTTGGCTGGTGCCACAATCCAGTTCAGGCATCTCTTAAGATGCTGAAAGTAGCTTTTTCTGACCAACAAACTTTTGTGGACCTGTGTTTTCTTCATGCCTTTGGCATTAATTCAACTCAGACATATGTTAAAATGGGAGAGACATTGAGGACAGAGGACAGAAATGCACTACAAAGTTCAGGGATCTGCAGAGCTTTTGGATGGAAGTGACAATGCAGGTGGAAGGACCACATTGCAACAGCGGGATGAGACTGCGCCAAACCTAGAATCCCAGTGGAAACCAATGAACACAAGTCCTGTCCGTCACTGCTTCTGCCCAGGAAGAAGGGATTGAAATCCACAGATGGAAAGGGCCTGAGAAACAGGAGGTAGAGGGAGAATATCCAGACAAGGGCATCAGAAAGTCTCGTTCAGCTGTGATCAGGAGCTGTATAATTTCACTCAGCTATATCAGAATAAAGTTAAAACTTGTCTTCTAGAAGGCTTTGGTCTGAAGTCAGCAAAAGGTGGACTATATACCTTAGTATCATCCTTATCTTATCCCTGTAATGAATTGCTCATTTTTAAAATAAAGCCCTTATTTCCAGTTAGTGCTGCCTGGCTTCTATCTTCAGCTTCTGTCTCCAGCATTTGTTATTGTTTCTTCCACTGGGTTAAAGACCCTTGTATTATTCAGTATTTCTCTGGGGAAGACATATACTTCCCTCCAGCTATGTCTTGGTACATTCTTCTTTTTGGTAAACTGAACAAACGAGCTCATTAAATCTTTGCAGTTGGACAATTTCACCTTTCCTGAAGTCTATTCTCTTGGATTTTTTCTGAACCTTTCCCAGTTTTCCAATAGCCCCTATAAAATGCATGCGGCAGACCTATGGGAAGAATTCCACAGTGGGTACTGATGATGCTGTCTACAGAGTTCAGTA